GATGCCTTAGGGCTTAGCTCTCATATTTTCCAAGTCCTGTACTGCTTTAGGGTATAACTCTAAACTCCATAACCTGTCAGCTACTGTTCTCCCATTTTATTCAGACAAAACAATTCCTCTAAACCTGAAGCTCAAGGACACCTCACTGCCTCAGGCCCCAGGAGATGTGAACAACAATGAATTAGGGGGAGTAAACTGGGGGTAAATGACTTCATTACCTGGAGCTGTAATTGGAGAATTAACCCCTGATATGTAAATGGACCAAACTTATATCTGTCTGAAAAACTCAGCCCATTGTCCATTTTGGGTGTAGCCTCTGAAGTTTCTGACTGCCCCAGGTGTATCTATTGAAGGCATTAATGAATAGCTGCTTTTATTCTATACCTTCTAGCCTCTGTTTTAGGTAGCCACTCTAAGCATCACCACCAGGTGTGATGTGGGACTGCTTGTGCCCTTTGGGTCTAAAAACCTTCTCTTTGAGACCAAGCACATTTGGGAGCTTTCAGAATTCTGTCACTTTACTTAAAGGATATCCTGAGCACTCTGTAGAGTGCCCTAAGGTACCTGAGGAGTCTTGGGCTTCTGTGAGTGCATGTGTTGGCTGAGTAAGAAATGCTGGTTCAGTTGAGGGATTGAGTGGGAGGCTTGCAGCTGCTTGAGGAATAGCAACTCCTCAGTGGACATTTGCTCCAGAACCCCAGATTTTGGTAAGAAGCTGTGTACTCCCTCTGCCTGGATGGGGGAATTAAATTACACTCATCTTCTGACCAGTTAATCTGCTCCTGTTAATGATAGAATGTGGACCAGGATTATGTGTGTAAAGTAATCTCGGGCTCCTGGTACTGTGCAGGCATCTGCTGAGGATCTGTTGGGCAGGAAAGGAATCTGAGCATGTTGTTTTGGAAAGGGGAAATGTGTAGGTAGAGATGATCAACATTGGGGTCAGCCATGAGTAATGGGGCCTCCAAGGCTGGTTGTAAACATCAAGTGACATTTGCAGGCCCAAAGGAGGCAGATTTGCTCAGCTTGTGTGATTCAGTTCTTGGTGAGATGTGTGGCTGCTGGGAGCAGCCTCTCCCCACTGGTGGAAGAGTTTGATGGGGCTGATGTGTCTCTTCTGCTTCCCCCCTTTCTCCATATGTGGAGCATTGATTACAAAACCTGCTGCATGGTGACAGTGGAAAGGGTTCCATAGTGACTCTGCTCAGCACAGACTGGTTCTGATGAACTTATTTTAGGATAGGAAGACTGGAAGTCTGAAGTTTTATTTGTGTGTGGGTCAGTCATGGATGGTACAAAGCCCAAAACACAGCCAGGCTTCCACAGGGGCCACGAGGAGCTGAAACCCACTCAGGAACTCCCGGGAGGGCACACAGGCTCTGGGGGACGCCCAGGAATGTCCCTTCCCTCTCACTGCACACATCGTTCTAAGGATGCTTTAAGCTCTGCCTCTCTGGGGATGATTTTAAATTAGGCTGCTCTGCTTTGTACTTCAGTGGTGCAGGAGCTTTGCAGAGTTCAGCTGAGGGTGACTGAATCTGTGCAATTCCTGAAATGGCCTGTGAATGCATGTTTGAAGATGCCTTGGGTCTGAGCTTTCTCAGATACAAAGAAAACTACTCTCCTTGCTTTCTACTAGTATTTTAGCCAGAGACCAATGCAAAAACTAAGAAACCACAAATTGAGTTAATTTTACACTTAAGAAATCCAAGGCCAGAAGGGATCAGTTAATGTAATTACTTATATGTTGTTGTTTTACTAAATAGTTTTTGTTTGTAACCAAAGCAACTTGCATTTGCTTCTGGAAATATATTGTCTCACTTGACATTAAAAGAAAGGAAATTCATTACTTCTTTCAGTGTCTAATTTCAATCTTTTTCCTTCTCATTTCAGACAATCTGGACCTATTATCTAGCTCTTGGCACTTAAGGCTCTACTTTATTGGATTAAAAGACTTCTTGAAGCTATGACTTCCTCAGCTGGTAAGTGAGCTATAGAACATATGTGTAATGCAACATAGGCAGTATAACTAATCAAATCATCCTCAGTCATTATCTTGTTTAACTAAATTAACTTAAGGCCTCATGCTCTGAAGTGTATTTTCATGTTTGAATGTTTTCTGAACCACACTGTATATTTTTTAATGTCCTTAAAATGCAGTGCAATGAATTTCACTTGCTGAAAACTATAATGGAATTATAATGTTGTGTAGGGTGTAAAATCTCATGGAAGGAGAGAGGCTGGTTTTCCCCTTTGCTTTTCCTTTAGCTTAGCTCATAGAGAAGACTGAGAAGTCTAAAGTGGACAATTTAGTGACACTATCCATTTAAATAACTGTGCATCTCTTAGGAGGCAGAGGAAGGGTAGGCTTCTGGTTAAGACAGCTGGATTAGTGTGTGAATCCCTGCTTTTTCCGTATGCTTCCTGCATGACCTTGGAACCATTGTGCTCTTCTGTGGAGCAAGATGATGTCCCATCCATAAGGATGTATGTACTGTATGTACTGTGTGTTTGTGAGGGTCCAGTGCTCGTGTATGGATTGTGTGTGTGTGTGTGTGTCAGGTTCCAGTGCTCATGTGTCTATTGTGTGTGTGTGTGAGGTTCCAGTGCTCATGTCTGGATTTTGTGTATCAGGTTCAAACAAGGATGGCCCAGACCATGGCCTAGGGCACACCTGACAGGAGATGTGCTGCTTGGCCCAGTTGTTTCCATCTCCAGAGAAAAGAGGGGCTTGGACAAAAGTTTGGGTGTGTTCCAGCAGCTCAACAGAGGATCTGTAAAACATGTCTGCAGAGTTCAGGAGCAGTCAGGACTGGAGAGCTGCTGCTCTGATAGTGTGTGCAGAACATGGGCCTAGAAATTGGAAAATCCTGAAACTGGGCTCCAGCAGCTGGAGCTGTCAAGAGTGGATGGTCCCTTGGGGATGTGGGGTTGTTATCTGTGGAGAGTTTACCATAACGTGGCAAGACTCTGGGTGCCAGGATTAACCAACACTCACTCCAGCACTTCTCATAGGAATAAATCCTCCTTTTTTTGTCACATTTCAATACCATTCTGCTAACAGCAGCATCTTGGTAAGATGGTAAGAAATTTAAGCTGTGTTACAGACAGAAACCAACTGCCTGCTTAGCAGAGATTTCCTGTATGATGCCTGTGCACCCCCTAGACCTTCTGCTGAGGCCTGGGCTGGCTTTATTCTTCTATCCTATTAATTGGAATAGAGACTGAAACACTTATTTGGAGAGGCAGACTCTACAGAGAGCTGCAGGATACTTGCTAGTGGAAGATAAAAGGAGATGTAAGTTGATTGGGGTGTTTCAAAAGCTTGATCTTGCCTCCTGGCCAGAGGCTCTGAAAAAAGACCTGGCACATGTTGCCAAGAGGTTGGAACTCCAAGTCCTCCCAGCTGACCTGGTCTAACAAGGAGCACTTTTCCCCTGTAACAGGTGTGAGTGACTCAAATGCAAAGAGAGGGGAAAACGAGCCCTTCTTTCTATTATTCTCCATCTGCATATCAAATGAGAGGAGTCCTGTTAGTATGCTGCCTCTCTGTCCTTATACAAGGCAGTGCACTGTCAGATCAGATAGTCTATTACTTCGGAATGGAAAAGAAGAAAGGCAATTTCTACAAAGAAGGACTTGAAAAGGCTTCCCTGGTTTTTCATCAGAGCTGTTGGAAACCTTCCTTCCCCACACTGCCCCTTCCCCAGTCCCACCTCCAAAATGCTCACCTCTTCCTGCCTTTGTCAGGCAAGTGTCAGATTTGACACCTTTGCAGTAAGATACAGAAATGCAAATGGACAAATCCAGCAACACCTAATCAGAGGATATAAACTTGCTGTGAACCTAATTTGTGGATTTAAATAAAAAGGCCATATTGCTAACACATTTCTAAAATGCTTTTTATTGAAAAACTCCTCATAGTACTGCTCTGACCTGGCTTTTTTTAGCCAGTACAGCACTGACAAGTGCTCAGGGGAAAGGGCTGTAATCCCTCTGCTCTTCCCAAACACTCCAGCTTTGGGAGAGCAGCTGTCCAGGTGCCTGTTTTTCCTACAGCAGAGGGAATAGACTGTGCCCAGGTGCCCAGCCCAGGCAGGTTCCCTTGGCTGTGGGAAGGGCAGCAGCACAAGCAGGAATGGGAAAAGCAGCAGGAACCTGGGAAAACCAGCTTTGGCTCCCATTCTCCAAGGCCAGTAGAGGGAAAGTTGAACACCACAGCTGCAGTACTGCTGAGCAGAGATAACTTTGTTTTGAGCTGCCCCAAAGCTGGCACGTTTATGTTGACTCTGGGCTGTGTTTCTGTCACTAAAGTGTCAGGATTTGCACTTACTTTCACAGGAGCATTAGAGAGAGCCCTAACACATCATGGAGAAGCCAAGCCAAGCTGCCTCTGCTGTTCCTGCAGCAGTGGAGAGGGTGCCTGGGGCCAGGATCAGTCCTGGATGCCACTGTTGAAGCCACTGAGCTCAGGCAGGGTCTGAATGCTGCTAGCCACAGGCTGTTAAGGAACGGGGCTGTGGCTTCAGCTCCCTCCCAAGGGCCTTTCCCAGGGGTTCTGGCTGAGCAAGGTCACAACACAGGCTGAGAGGCTGTGTGTGAACTGCCCTTGGAGTTACACGGAGCTCTGAGCTAAGAGGGGAGAGCAATGTATCAAACAAGATGTGAGACCTGAGGAAAATTGATATAAATAAACCTGGACTTGGGCTGGGGCTAGAGAGGTGCAGCCTCTGTCTGAGAGGTCATCAGGTGTGTGGGGTGTTAGTTTTAGTGCAAGTGTCCCAGGCTTCATTTACACTTCAAACCCCTAACCTCTGTCCCTGAAGCAGAAAGGTCACTACACAGGCTCTCAGCTACTCTTGCTCAGCTGGTTTTTGGCCCTCTCCTCCAGTTCAAAGGAAATCTAACACAACAGGGGATGAGAAGGACCAAACATTGGGATAGACACCTTTGAACAAGAACACCCATCTCAGGTAAAGAAAATTACAAAGGAAAGGCCCTGCCAGCGCTTCAGTTTCTATTTTTATTATTCTATGGGATTAACAAAGCTACATGTCTAGTCCCTTGGTCCGTTGGGTCGCTTCCTTTCTTGCTTGTTCTGTGTTCAGGAACTTCCATGAATTAAGACACTTTACAATCCCTTTTTTCCTCTTTACAATGACAGCTCTCTGAAAGGTATTGTACCACAGCATAAATAACCTGGCATCTCCCCAAAGCAGGAACCAGGAGGGCTCAAACCTCATGGGTAAGAATGCTGAGGGTCCCCCTCCAAGCCCCCAGAAACATTAAAGAACTTTCCAAATCTACCGCACACTCTATTCAATGGAGTCTGTTTTTGCTCTCCACCAACAAAAAAAAGCCCAAAAAGCAAACCACCCCCCTGTGAGTTATGCCCCAGGACAGGATTTGCCTAGCACTTCTGAAGTTAGGGCTGTGCATGTGTGAGCAACGCTTCAGATGGCAGATCGAGTAGAGTAGGTTTGGACTGGCAGCCAGACCAACCAGCCCTTAACTCTGTGGCCTAAGACCAACCTCAGCCAATATAACCTGGCTCATGCAATAAACTTAAGTGTCAACTAGAATTAAACAAAAGAAATATTTGAATTCCAATAGTTAACAAGGCTCAGTACAAGAATTAAGTGCTTAATTACCAGCATTGTTTCCATAATACACGCATACTGGTGTTAAGAGCCAACAAGAGGGAGCTATATTTTAAATGTTTTTAAACGGTTTAGAAGCGCATCACATTACACAATATATGCCACGGTGTTTTTTATTAAAGATTAAAAATAAAAAACGTTTGACGCCCTAATATACATAAAATCACAAACTCAAATGTGCTAAAAGCAAGATGTGCATAAAGACACTCATTTCTAGTAAAGGCACCCTGCCACCAACGTCCTTTAAAATGTTTGTCTAATTCCACCACGTTTCTAGTTTTCTCTCCCTTCCCTAAAGCTGAGGCTTTAGACTGCTACCAGGTACAGATGCTACCCCCACTGACACCTTTCAGGGCTCTGTGCTATCACTAGAACACTTAAAACCGTGCATGCAGACTTAGCTCCAGCTTCTCCTGGAATTAACTATCGTGATTTAAAATGCACAAGGGCTTTTTCTTAAAAGGTAGTGATGTTTGGGCCGCTTCTAAGGGCCAAGAAGAGACAGGGTTATAAAATAACTGCTGCGTCTCCCCTAGACAGCTTTGCTACTACAAACCATTTCGCTCCTCCCCCCCCATACTCACGTAAAAACAACCCCTAAAGTTACAAAACGCCACCCACACACGCACACACACAGGGATGAAATGTGAACGCGTTCGCTATTAGGCTGTCAGGGTGTGACAGCGTCAGAGAGCCCGAGCGCTGCCAGCCGCACACACACACAGACGGACAGACAGACAGACACTCGCACAGACAGACACGCTCGCACACGCGTGTGCGGGGCACCCTGCCCTCCCCACGGCTGGCTCTGCGCTGCCTGCTCTCCGCTGTTACCAGGGTCTCCACATGGATTTGGGCGAGCCGGGCGAGGCCAGGCCCTGCGTCTGGGACGCGTCCAGTCCGTCCGTGCCGGTCCGGCCCGGCTCGGCCTCCGCCTCGTCCGAGTCGGAGCAGGTCTCTTCACCGGGGGAGGGCAGAGCCGGGCCCGGCCGGGCTCCGGCCGGCAGCGCCAGCGCCTCGCCCGCGGGCCAGGGGCCGAGGGCGGGCTCCCCCAAAACGTCCGTGATCGAGTCCGGGCAGCCGCCCTCGCTCAGGGGCATGGACTCCAGCAGGTGGTTGAGCAGCTCGGCGGCCGTGGTGGCGTCGATGCCGGGGCAGCTGGAGACGAAGGTGTGCACCTCGTGCATGCACTGGATGTACCCGGCGGCGAAGCGCTCGCTGGCCTCGAGGAGCCGCCGCCCGCCCCCTGCGCCGCGGGGACAGAGAAGGGCGCGGGTGAGGCGCGGGCCGGGCCGGGCCGAGCGCCCCCGCCGCCCCCCGGGCCGGCACTCACCGCGGGCGCGCCGCTCCAGCACGGCCCGCACCCGCCGCACCGTCCGCTCCAGCACCTCCGCGTTCTCCAGCTTCGCCTGAAACTGACCCGGGGCGCCGCGGCCGTCAGCGCGGCCCCGGCCCCCGCCGGCCCCCGCCCCGCGGCGCCGCCGCCTCACCTCGCTGTCGGCCAGCAGCAGCCGCAGCTCCCGCAGGCTCTCGTTTATGCGCGCCCGGCGCTTCTTCTCCACCAGCGGCTTCCTCGTCTGCGGGGACAACAGCGCCGTCAGCCCCTCCCGCCCCGGCCCGGCCCGGCCCGGCCCGGCCCCGCCCTCCGCGGCCCCCGCCGCTCACCCTCCGGTCGCTGCGGGGCTCCGCACAGCCCTCGCCCCGCGGCGGGCGGTCCGTGCCCGGCGCCATGGCCCGGCCCCGCCGCTGCCCGGCTCGCCGCGCTCCGCGCCGCTGCCGCCCCGCGCCGCCCGTTTTATAGGGCGCGATTTGCATGTCAATGAGCGCATTGGCCGGGCCGCGGGCCGCGCCGAGCGTGGGCCGAACGGGCCAATGGCGGCCGCGCGCTTTGTCTGCGGCGGGGCGGGCCCGGCCCGGCACCGGCACCGGGCGGGACGTGCCCCGGGCCCGCCGGCACCGAGCGGCTCCCCGAGGCGTCGCGGACCCCCAGCTAACCCCAAAACCCAGCGCCCGTGCCGGGCTGCGAGCTCCGCAACACCCCTGTGTGCGGCTGGGGTGTTCGTGGAACGGCGGGCCAGCCGGCTGCCGGCGGGGAAAGCCGGGCGTCAGCACCGACCTGGGCGTGAAAGAGTCGGTGTGAGCCGTGACCGGGAAGCCGTGAGGCTAAGCAGGCACAGCTCGCCACGGAGGCGGTCTTGTCCTGCCCTCGAGCCCGGGTGCCAGCCCGGCAGGACGCGCTCGGTGTGCCCGTGTCGCGGGGCTGTGCGCGGCTGCAGCGCATCCCCGGCCCCGGTGGCCACGGGCAGCTGTGCCCGGAGCGCTCGGTGCCGTCCGCCCGCCTGGCTGCAAGAGCCGGGCAGCTTTGTGCGGGTAACTTGATGCTGATGACAGTTGGCAGCTGCAGTTCCCCCAGCAGACTGAGGCAAATAAAAGCATTAGGGCTCGTCCCCGAGGAGAGCGACAGGTGTTCGCTCCCGCTCCTTTGTTTCCCTGCTTTTATTCTCCTCGCTAATGCATGTCATATTTTTACCGCCCGAGGAAACGGGAGACGCGTCCCCCGCTGGAACCGGCGCTGGGAGCCGCACGCTCCCCTCCCTGTACGTGTCCGGCATAGCTCCTCTCCTGCTCCAGCTTCCCCCCGATTTGTCCCCCCACGGAAAGCCCTTTGGTGTTGGTGGCGCTGAGGATTTCCTTGCGGAGAGCTCTGGTGCGAGCCGGAGCCGTTCAGAGCCGCGGGATGCCCTGTTCCATCAATTTTTATGGATCCGCGCCTGGATCGGTGCCTGGCGAGTCCCGTGTGGCCCAGCGGGCACCGGCACGTGCTCCGGGAAAGGCCGGGCTGGCTCTTCCTTCGGCATTCCCACTGTTGCTTAACACTGCTTTTCATCTTCAAAGTGCCGTGCAAACCTCCGTGTGGCACTGTGCTAATCCATGTGCGACAGGACAGCAAGCTGGGATGGAGAAGTTCAGCACTGCCTTCCCAGGCCATCACAGAGTGCATAAGGGTAAAACCTGGGATATCCTGGCTGGACACCTAAGCTCGGGCCACTCTTGGTTTTGTATCACAATGGACAGGAGGTGTTATTTGCAGAAAGATGTTTCTGGTGTATTTTTTCCTCTTATGTTAAAGCATCAGTGCTTGGGTTTTGTCAGAGTCTGTTCAGGTGGTGGCAAGTTTCCCTGCACCTGGCAGGAGCAGAGTGGGATGTACTGGGGGCTGGATGTCTAAATCTGTCCTTCTGCTTCTGAGGCACCGAATTCTCTGTGTAACATGATGTGGAAAGCAGCTCATTCTTTTCAGTGATATAATTAATGCTGGCTAAGCAGAAATGCTGTGTGGACCAGGCCAGGTACAGTCGTAGAGACAACAAGTGACCATTCTGTGCCTGATTCATGCATACTTAGCCTACCTTAGTGCAGGGGAAAACCATGACTGAAAAACCATGAATGAAAACCAAACTGCAGCAAAGCAATGGGTGTCACAACTTTGAAGGAACCATCTTTGTTCTGAACCAGAACTAGGCAACTAAGGTCGTCAGAGGTATATAAGAACGCAAAATGCACACATACATTTGAGAAATGTGCAGTAACACACAGTGTGTGTAGTCGTTGGTAAAAGATGAACTTCAAGCATTTGTGAGCTTGTTTTCTCTAAAAGAGAAAGCTCAGTTTTTCCTAGGATGGGGGTGGGGGAAGTGGGTGAGCCGGTTGCTGGCTGGGGGTAAAACCCAACCACACAAATATTCACGTATTCACTGCTCAAACAGTGGGGTTAACACTGGTCTAAGTCGTGTGCAGTCCCCAGACCTGCCAGGCCTCTTTACTGCAGGTGTTTGTACCAGTTGTGTTTCAGAGCTAACCTGGGTTAGAGGTGCTGCATTGCTAATGCGGGGAAATGAGGAGTGAAGGATCTCCTGAATTCACCCCAGTCGAGGCTCAGATGTGTCAGGACTCGGGTGATGAAACTCTGGTGGCTGCTGAACAGCAGTGATCTCTCACAAGTCTTGATCTGAGTTTTTGAGCAGTGAGGATTTAGAGGCACAAGGTGAGCACTTGCAGATGCACGAGGAGACTTGAGCAGCAAATTTTGGCTAAGAAGGCCCAGAGAGAGTTGGCCATATCTATAACATCCTGTTTCTGTTCTGACTGGGCAGGTGCTGATGACAAGGCATTGTACACAGTGCTGCCTCTTGTTCTGCAGCATGTTTTTTGTATTTTCTTTGAAAAGCTGCAGGTCAAATGAGTTGACAAACGCTGGAGCTGTTTGTGCTGGGCATTAAAAATGTATGTGCCATAAATATCAGGGCATCACTAGAGCTGCTGTTCTGGAGGAGGAAGGCACTGCAGGCTATCTCCTCTAGCCCACAGGGACAATGTGACATTTTTGTGCTACTTTAAACAAGTTCCATCACATCGGGTGAAGCGAATCATGGTAACCTCATGCATTTTAATGGAAATGTCAACTGCAATCTAGTAAAAGAAAACATTCCTTAGATACCTTGTCCAATACCTCGGTGCTTGTCCATGCGTGGTGGTTCCTGAAGCTTTCACTAAACCCATCGACTTACCTGTATTTTATCCAGGTGAAGCCCGTCCTGCTCCCTGCTGATGGGGAGGTGTACAGGCATTGCTTCCTCCTGCATCAGGGGTGGGAGATTAACCTTTGCTAGAGAGCTCTGTCCTGCCAGAGACAGGCTCCTACACAACTATACATGGCAGTTTAGGAACAGCATAGTGGCATAATGGCATCTGGGCCTTGCTGCATGTGTTCTCCTGCAAGCCTGTGTGTAGAGCAGTATAACACAGCCTATAAAACAGGCTTAAATTTTTTCCAGACCATGCACGAGCAGTGATGCAGCTGTGGTGACAGTGACAAAGGCAACTGTGGGAGGCCACCCTGCAGCCTCAGCCCTGTGCCCTGTGTTTTGGAGGCCTAGGTGAGTGGCAAATCCTCATTTCTGACCTGTCATGGCCTGACACGCTTTTGTTTGAAGTTGGCAGGTGCATTTGGAAGGTCTCTGGCTCCCAGAAGAACATTCACAGAGACATAATGAAACTCAAAACATTTTTGAGTCCTCTACAGGCAAATGTGCTGCTATCCATGCTCTTGGACTGGAGTTAGGAGGTGACCCAGGCTCTGTGTGGATAATACAATCAGGGCACGGGATAAAGACATGATGAGCATGCACAAGGTCCATTGGAAATGCTTGAGTAGTTTCTTTCACAAACAGTGTAACATCTGTTGTCGCTGGAGGCACAAGTTCCTGTCAAAAAGACACGTCATCCTTATAAATATTAATGGTGCATATAAATGGTGGTGGGTGTGAGCTGTGGATGTGAGGTTAATGGGTGAGCTGCTCCTTAGGCATCAGTTCGCTGCCATCAGACTTATTTCTGCACTAACAAATACAAACTGTTTAGGTGGCAGAGCAAGCAAAAAGCTTTCTTCCCCCTCCTCCTCTCCCTGGGGTCCCTTCACAAATGAAATGTGTACTGTAATTAGTCTCTTGCCTTGTCACTGATGAAAATTAGTCCTGCTAGCAGAGCCGAGGAGGAGAGGAGTGAGGCTGGAGCTGGAAGAGCTGAGGCTGTGGGTGATAAATGAAGCGAACAGGGAAGGCTGTTGGGAGAAGTCTGCAGCATTCCCCATCAGCCTGATCCTAGCTGCCTTCAGTACCATCGATTTCTCTGCTGTTAATGGCTGATGTTTAAGAGGAAAATAGGATTGAGTATCACCACTGAGCTGCTCTTGGATTCCAGTCTGTTTGTTACTGCAAATTGTGTTTGCTGCCTTGAGCACTGAGTTCCTACTGCCCTTTTCAAAAACCATAAGGCTTTTCCTATCCTTATTTATTTATCAGCAGACTTGGCAGCAGTGCTAGTGTTCATCAGCTGGGACACAGAGGAACAGTTCATGCCAGCCAAAACACTAATGAGTAGCATTCAAAAGGGTCTTATGTCCATTCACACAAGAGCCCCAAGACTGTGTTTGCTGTCTCTGGAAGCTGGGGGTCCCCTTTGCCTGAGAAGATGGGCCCAGCCTTCAGTCAAAGGTACTTTGACTTTCTGCCATTTCAAGAGGTGATGATTTTCAAATGGAAAAAATAGTGAGAGGCAGTGCTGAGTAAGCAGAGAGGAGAACAGAGCGTCCCCCATGGTGAGGGATGGATGGGTGCTGTGCACTGGGGAGGCTCTGTTTTGCCCCAGCAAAACCCTCTGTGCCACGTCTTACCTTGTCAGCCTGTTGAGCTCCTACAAAGAGAACCCAGACTCACAAAGCTTTGCAAACTGCTTCAGCTCCTGCCTTTTAGCTGTGGTCTGTCGCGGGTGACTGTGGCAGGATCCCACTGTGCCTCTGACATTATAGAAAGCATCACTTGGGCACATTAAGTTTGTGGAAGGTATTTCAGAGAGGTGAGAATAATTGTCTGAAGCAAGTACAGAGAGTTTTTTTCCAGTTGGATAAAAAACCCAGAGTCTGTCTGTGATGCTTCAGGAAGCATCATGTTTCCAGGGAAGCCTCTTGTGTTTGATTTCTCAAATATTTTTGCTAATTAAAAGTTATCTTTATCAGGGGGCTGTCTTCATCATAGACTTTATACTGTGTTTGTAACAGGGTTGCATGTATCACTAGTCCTCCTCTGCCAGATATTAGTTCCTAAATGCCTTACAGGCATCCTCATTAAAGTACATTTGCTTCAGAGAAGGCGCTGAAGCCCTTAAACACAATCCTGACTAGGGCTGAAAGCTTTTAAAGTGTGTTCCCTTCAGAGACTATTGCTTCTGACATGCAGTGCGTGCCCAGGGTAACTCCC